AGGAGCGCGAGGTCCGCCCTGCGCCCCGGGTCCCCGTCCCGCAGGCGATCAGAGGCGCTGGGTGGGTCCCGCCGGAGCTGGGGGCGAAGGGAGCCGAAATCGGACCTTTTCCCCCCCTCTCCCTGCAGTCCCAACCAATGGCCTTGGGACACCTGAATCTTTAAAACACACACACAATTTCATGTATGAGATGAAAATTACTGAGGGAATGAAGAAATAAGAGGTTCTCTGCAGGGAGGTGCTTTTGTTTTGCTTTTATTTGGATGTTCTGTTCGATTCGCTATCTCTGGGAAAAATAGCTTCCGCACCTCACAGGGCAATTTACTTTGGGTTATTTTTCCACATGGAAATTGAATGACTTCAGTGGCATTTAACCCAAATATCAGACAATCTTTCCCATGACAACAGATGGTGATATCAATGGGGAAGCAGTTGTGAGGTCAACAGTTGACAGCCAGGAATTGGATATCCACCAGAACTTTATTCAGCTGTGTATGGGCAACGTTGAACATAATGAGTCAGAATCAACCTCTGCAAAAACATGAACTATAACTGGCGATTATTGCCGGGTGAAAGCTGATTTTAAAGGAGACTGTCAATTTGGCGAGATAAATCACTTTAAATGAAGTGATGCAAGAGCTGCAAATGGGCAGACCCAACTCTTCCATGCCAGAGGAGAAATGCTGCAAACCAGACGTTAAAACAATAGAAAAATAATGACGGGCTCTTGAGCCGGTCTGGAGGGCACTGGGACCCAGGAAAACGGGGAGGTGATATTGTGTAACTGGGCATGGAAAGTTGCCCAGCTTCTAAGCTGGCTGAAGTTTGCTCACCAACCTGCCTGCAGAGCTGGGGAAAATCACTAATAATTTCAAAATTTTGTTTCCATGCCATGCCATTTAGGAGATTTTTCTCCACATGGAAAGGGGGTAGGGGGGGGCATGTAAGGGATTTGTGTGCTTTTATACTTAACCAGGGGCCTCTGCCTCCCAGCCATGCTTCAAAAATCTAAGTTGTGGTTTACTAGTAAGTGGTGTCCAAGAAGCCAGATAAAAATCCACTCACAAGTGCTTGATTCTGCAGAGACCAAGATGACAGTGTAAACACGGATGGGAAAATCAAATAGTTCTGTTGTCAGGGGCGCTTAAACAATCAGGAGAACCTGTAACATGAGACCTTTCCCTCTGGATTTGCTCTTGGTACTTTCTCAACAAATTGTACACAGCAAAAAGGCGGATGTATGTGTGTATGTATATATGTATGTCACACACACATATAAAAGGGCAAAAAGTTTGTTATTTAACCAAAGTTGTCAGTTATGTTTAGTTCTAGAACAAACAGGTTGCTGTAATTTTAAAAGCTATTGAGTGGTGAGGAAAATGTTCTTAGTTGGCAAGACCCTCACCTCCGTCTTCCTTTGGGGCCTAGGAAACCTGTGCTCACCAGAAGCCAAGGAAGCTTCCTTCTCTTAACCCCAGGGGCGCCTTCCTCCCGTTCTCTTTCCTTCACTTCCAGGTCTCCTGGCCTCCCCATCTCTCCTCTCGCAGGTGTTTGCTGAGTTTACATTGTCCCCCATCTCCTCTCTCCTCCCAGAGCCCTTTCTTCTTTCCCCCAATCCGCTTCTCCTCCTCTCCGCAGCCTCGTCTCTGCCTGCCTTCTCTCTTCTCTCAGCCTCCCTAGCCTCACCTCTCCTCCCCTCCTCTCCCCTTTCGGTCTCCCTCCACTCTGGTCTCGGCCTCCCACTTCTTACCCTCCCGTTGCCTCCCGTCCCCTCTCCGCCTCCCCCTCCCCTCCCCTTCCTTCTCCTCTCTGCCTCCTCGGCCTCTCCTCCCTGATGGCCTCCCTGGCCTCTCCTCTTCTCTCCCTGCAGCCTCGCCGCCCCACAACAGGAAGCCGGACCCCGGCGGCAGCCCGAGTGCGGAAGAGACGCGGGGGCCCCAGGCGCAGCCGGTCCCAGAGACCCCGCGACGGCCGCGTGCTGCCGAAGACTCTCCCCGCGCCTGGTCGGACCTGCGGCGCCGGAAGCCCCCGCCGCCTGCCGAGAACCGGGCCGGCTTCCGGGAGGCCGCGCGCGCGCCCGCGGGCCCGCCCAGCCCG